ATTGATCAACCACAAAATCGAGGTTTAAAAACAGAAAAAAATTATTTTGTTTAATGCTGTTTTTCATTCTCTTTCAGTTACAATGAATGATAATAATCATCAAATATGTTATCGTTCATCAATGCAAACGAATGGTTGGACAATGAGAAATAATTATCAAAATCATAATCGAAAATCACTTAATAAAACACGACATAATTCAATGAGTAAGATATATTGTTTTTCTTATTTATTCTTTTTTGTTGTTTTGAAAAAAAAACTTTTGAGTTTAACATGCATGAAATACAACAACAACAAAAACAAAAAAAAATGTTTCTTTTTTTTGAATGAAAAACTTATCTATAGGTTTTAAATCATTGGATAACTTATCAAACAAAATTTCACCATGGATTATTAAAACTTATAATCTTCTTGAGTTAGGTAAATTATAAAAGAGCTTACAGAAAACAATATATGTAATGATCAATTTTGCTTTCTCGTTCGCATTATGCATGTTTTTTTTTTTTTTAATTCGAACGAGAGAAGCTTCTTTATTCTTTTGCATAATCATTTATATCTGCTTATTATATATTGAATGTAAATATATATATTTTTTTAATCTATTGATGCTTTATTATTTTTTTTCTTACTTTACTAAATATTTCTATTGAATAAAATTAAATTTTAATAAGAAATATGTTTTATTTTTCTTTTTTTTCAATCATAGGCTCACTTAATTCATCGTATCAAACAGTTTTGGGTAATCAAATGTGTCATACAGAAATTATGGAATGTATACTTCAATTTGATTCATTATCTTCAAATAGACTTTCAACAGATGGAGAAACAATTAGTTGTTTTGGTTTTACAATACAAGGTGTTTCATTTGTCTCAGATGTACTTATGCAATCACCTATTATTGGATATTTAGAACCAGGTGGTATTGCTGAAAGGTATTGAAAAAAAAACAACAATAAAAATTATTTAAATATCCTCAATACATTTCAGTATAGGATGAAAACGAATAGAGAGAGAGAGTTTTTCTGCATTTATAGAGATACAGTGAGTATTCTGTATGATAGTCAATGATTTTGCACATTTTTGCTATTATTCAGGATAGCAATTTCAGATTGTGCTGACTTAGGTTCTTTGTTTAAAATATTAAAACCGTTTGAACTGTAAATCATTTTATTGATAATATCTATTATATTAATACTGGAGTAAAACATTGATAGATGTTATTCGAATAGTTTAACAAAGATTTCTTTTATCATTTTGCGAAGACACGATTACAAACTCCATTTCGCGAAAAAGAACGTAGATTTATTTACATTTATGCACTTTGACTTGATTTTGTTCATTAGCCCGAAGTGTTGAGTGTGTGTCATTAGTAGATGCTTAACCTATTAGTATGACTTCATGACTGCTGGCAGTCCAGGAGAACGTTATTCATTTCTTTTCTCCAATCATAGAATCCTATAAATGTCTATGATATCTCCAACAGGCAAAAAACAATATGAAATGTTTATTTTCTATAAATGTGTAGTATAGTTTCATTCATTTAGTTGAATCATCACTTTTCATAATAATAATAGAAAAAGATCAAGATTTTCTTTCTTAGTAGAATTTTATTCGTTATTTTTGAAAAAAATTAATCAAAATAAAATATTCTTTTGATTTAGATCAGGTGTTCTTCAACCAGGTGATCGTATTCTTGCGATAAATGGACAATTATTAGAAGGTATGACATTAGAAGATGCTCGATCAATAATTAAAAGATCAAATCATCAAATTCATCTTGAAGTTGAATTTGATGTTGCTGGTATGTTAATTATTTCTTGTCCAATGATTGTATTTTTGTTTTTTGTTCTTTCTATTATTCATCAATTAGATTTTGTTATGCTTTCATCAGGAGTTTGTGAAGTAAAACTTTTAAGAAAAAATCTTGATCTTGGTTTATCTGTAACATGTATATAATTATTTTTTTGATTATATCTTGAATTAAGTTTTTTTCTTTTTCTATTGAAAAGATTCTCGTTCATCTCAAATTGATGAAATTCCAATTATAAGTGATGTTAAACGTGGTAGTGTAGCTTATCGTTGTGGAATGATTCAAGCAGGTGATCATCTTCTATCTATTGATATGCATTCATTACGTGGAAAAAGTTTAAATGATATTTCATTATTATTAAAAAATTGTGATGATATTGTACGATTAAGAATAAAAAAAGATGATATATATTCACAAGATAATCTTTGTGAAAATGTTGTTGTATATAAAGTACAATTACATCGACAAGGGTAAATAAAAAAAAAGAAAGAAGATATAATCATAAATATTTTTTTTTTAGTGGTCCACTTGGTTTAACAATAGCAGGTAGTGAAGATGTATTTGAACCAATTATTGTTTCGGATTTATGTGAAGGTGGATTAGCTGATAAGTAAGTTTCATAGATGATTCAATAAGGTTTATGTTTAATTTTTTCCGTTGTTATAAGTGTTAGAAAGAATTCAAATAGTGATTCGAATCGAGTCAACTGTGTAACACAATGTAACTACTCTTGCTAATCAAAGAGAGATACTGTCTTATTCTTTTTATATTGAAAAGTCGAGTTTTCTGCGAGAGTTTTTGACTGACATACTGCAGAGAACTCGGTAGCATCTCATTTCTACCTGTTATCTATCTGGAGTCCTTGTCTTCAGATATCTAATAGAAGTTTTGATTTCCGTATATATTTTTTTCTAGAAACAATTTTTTTTTTAGTGCTTACACAACGGAAAAAAATTGATAATAAACCTTGTTGATTAATTATAGTACTTATTGTATATATTCTATTGATTTGTGAAACATGATCTGAAAAGAGTTTTGAAGTATAGGGATAAAAATTTAGATCCTCACACACAGATCGAGACAGATGTTAATATATGATCATTTATCGTATTATGAATATTGACTCGTTATGATATATGAGCTATGTTTTTATTGCATTTTTGAAGAATAAATATTCTTCGCTTTCAAAAGCTTTTTGTGAATGATTCCACGAAAAATGATAAAACTTGCAAGACAACTAGATTTCTATAAGTAGAGCAAAAGTTGTCATAGCAATCAAATAGTCAAAAGTTCCTCCATCAAAATTGTGTACTTCATTTTTTCAAACAGTGATTTTTGTTTATGACAACTAGCATCAAATTGGAATGTGTGTCTGGTTTTTTTTATCAAAAATATCATTCCTAGGACTGAAATAACCAAAAACTGACAGTGTTTAGTGGTATGACGTATTAAATAAAAATATGACATTTGAATGAGAACGATCCAAGATTGTATTAACAATGAAAAACTAAAACTTGAAAAGATTTCGATTTTCAGAGAGAGTATCGTCTTCAGTAAAAAAAATGATAAAGAAATGCATCTCCCCCCCAAAACATAGGTAGAATTAAACAAATTTCCTGTGTTTAGTTACATCGTATTTCACATTTGTGTCTCACAAGGATTGTACTATTAGATCTTTTCTTTTTCTAAAATTTAAATTAATATAGAACAAATGCAATTCATATTGGTGATCGAATATTAGCAATAAATGATGTTAGTCTACGTGGTAAAGGTCTTAATGAAGCAATTAAATTATTACAAACAAGTGGTGATGAAATAACATTAAAAATTTCTCGAATAATTCATCATCAACCAAGTATTAAAAAAAAAAAAGCTAATTATTATTGAATTCTTTTATTTATTTTTATAATCTAGAAGATTATACACCATCTGTTGATTCAGCTATGGAATCTTGGGATAGTTCACATACAGATAATAGACTTAGTGATAACAGTGAAGGAACAACAAAAGAAATTATTGTTAATGATCATCAACATTATCAAATATCTCGTTCAAATACAAATGATAGTAAGTTGAAATGAGTTGATGAAACATCTATTGTGTATAGTTGAGAATTTATGTATATTATTATGTTCTGGCTCAAAAACAAAAAACAGATGTTCCCTTTCTCCTAAGTTTTAACTCGTCCTGCCCGGAAAAGAAAATCTGGATAAAATACTTATCTACCTAATTATATGAGAGTAATAGAAGCTTGATATTGTACATAATCTATATGGTTTATACATTTGTATTCCAGGTGATTTTCTACTTAAACATCAAATGCATTCAATACCGATAACAACACTCAATGGTAATCGTCCAATGGTAATCTTTCCGTCAACATCTGGTTATCGAACATCACCCTCTAATGGTCGACTACGTGAACTATCACGACATTCGGATCATGAACGACAAAATTCATGTATTCTACATGATAAATCAATTGGAACAAATATTTATGAAACAAAATATGATAATTTTATAAGAGATCGTGTAGCCAATGATACAATAACAGTTATACTTAAACGTGATAAACGTGTACTTGATTTTGGTTTTTCAATATCTGATCGTCTTTATGGTACAGGTGTCTATATAAATAAAATTCGACCAAATGGACCAGCTGAATTAGAAGGCACACTAATACCATGCATGAGAATTTATAAAGTAATTATTTTTTGTAGAAAAATCACAAAATAAAACTAAATAAATCTTTTATTTATTTAGGTAAATAATATTGATGTAACACGTATGGAATGTAATCAAGTTGTACCATTATTATCATCATCATCTGATGATTTAATCTTAGTTGTTGGACGACGACCAGCACCAATGTTTGATGAAACAGATGAATTATTTCAAATTGATGAAAATGAAGATGAACATCAATCATCTATTATTACAGATGGATCCATCAATGAAAATCATATGTCAATTGTAAATGATAATAATATATATTCTCGTCTTTCAAATTCAAAGACGAGTATTGTATGAAATAAAATCAAAATCATTTAGCATGTTCAACTAGTCAATTACAAACAAAAACAAAAAAAAATAACAACAACAACATAAACCTATTCTCACATATGTGTAAAAATTCTTCTTAAACATATATATTTACATTTTTTAATGTGGTTTTTTTTCTTTTTTTTTTTTATTTCGATGATAAAGATGTATAAAAAAAATCATTTGTATCAAGATAATGTTCATTTTCATATGAATATGTACATTGCCATGAATAAGTTCGTTTTTGAATAGGAATATTTTGTCGTTGTTGATCAATATATTGAAAAAGTAATCTATAAAAACATTGATCACATGAAAGTGCTAAACGTTGATTATCATATAATTGTTCATGAAGATTTTTTTCATTATATAAATTTAATAAAAATGGAAAATATTCTGTTTCTAATAATTTTATTTCCCAATCAATAAAATTTATACGACAACGACATATATAACATTGTGGTCGAGGTTGACGATAATTTTTTATTTGTTTTTTATATTGATCAATTAAATTATAATAACATAATGTACATACATCGATTTGTGTTGTTGAAAGAAATTCAAATTGACTTTTATATATAGTATATAATGTACCATGAGGTTTAATTGATAAACATAAATGACATGAATCATATGGATTTTGTTTTGTTGAAGACATTAATGATGTATAATCAGATATAAAACGTGAACGAATTGATGTTAAATATGAATCTAATGAAGACATTTCATCAAATATATGAAATTCAAGAGAACTATAATGAAAAAAATAAAAGAAATGTTGAAATCTGATGTCTGTACTCTAGAGAACAAAAAAACGAAAAAGGTTTTTTTAAATAAGAAGAAAATACGTTTCCGAAAAAAATGATCACTTTCGAAAGTTTGAAAATCTAATTTTTTCCTTGTTAAAAACGAATGAAAAAAACAAAGGGTTCTAAGTAATAAATCACTTTTAACCTATAATCAGATTTAATCGATAGAACTCAATGAGTAAGTAAATACTTTAGAATAGGACGAGCTGTTGTAAATTTGTTACTGAAGTACCTATATTTTTATAAATTCGTATCTTGGAGAGACTCTATTAAAAAATTTTGAAATTATTCCTACAAACAAGCCTAATCAGAACAATGATGTAAATTAAGTTTCAGATCAAAATTCAGAAATATAATTCTACTTGAAAACTGAATCTCTGAAGAAAAAATCTACTAAAGACTTGATATTTCAGCAACAAATATCCAACAGTTCATAGAGATTTATTACTTGAAGATCTTCTGTCGTAAGATGAATCTGTAAAGAATTGGTCCTAGTAGAATATCTTTCGAGATATTTAAAATTATTTTATTCATTTTTTGATTAATTTTAAAAGTTTGAATATACAGAAAGTTATGGTCAAAATTTATGTTTTCTTCTTGAAAGAGAAAGAAATCCTTTTGTTTTTCTAGAATTTCAAAGTATCCTAGGATATAAATCAATAAAATTTTTGTTTTAAAATTTATTGATACTACTACATGAATTAACTTCTGTTTCTCTATTGTATTGAAAACTAAATGAAAATATTACTGAAGAAATGATTTACTTATTAGTAGTAGATGTAGTCGTTTTACGTAATGGTGGAGGTATTGATCTTGATTGTTGTTCTATTGATTTATCTGTATCGATAATAATCGGTTGTGAACTTGATGATGAAGGTGTATCTTCTATTGATGATTCTTTATCTAGAAAAAGAATTCAATATTAAATTGAAAAATTTTCATTCTTTCTTTTTGTTTTACCTAATGATTGTTCTTTTTCATCAATAGATTTCGATATTATTTTTGTTGGTAAACCAATATTTGTATGACATGAACCTGTTGATCGAAAAAATCCTTTGAAAAAAAAATTATTTGTTGTATGATTAAGTTCACGTTGTTTATCAAGTAATAAAGCACATAGATGACATGCTTGAACATGATGTGTATTATCATTTACTGGTAAAGCACCAGGTGCTGGTGGTAAATTACGTAAAAAATTATAACCATTTTTTTCAATTGATATTAATTGTGTTCGTCCTAAATAACCACATAAATGACATACTGTTCCATCAATAGATGTATTTGTTGATGGTGGTGGTAGGATTTGTGGACGTGTAGGTGCTAGAGATTTTCGAGCACGTTTCTATATTAAAAATAATAATAATAAGAAAAAAACGTAACATTAATTGATATATATTAGAAAAAAAAAAATAGAAATCGTTTATTTACTTGAGTACTGCTCGTTGTTGGCATTGTAATCAATCCAGATGCAGCTATGCTGTTCTTGTGAATGATAAAGAACGTCAAATGAACAACAAACAGTAGTAACACACTTCTGTTGTTGTCGTCGTTGCCCCATCTGTCTTCCGTCATTCATTGGTACGCGCGCGCGCTTCATATACATACACACAGCCGGCAATAGTTGTGCGTTTTTTGCAAACGAACGAGCGAACACGTAAGGGTGTAAGAAAGAATGATGATTTTCTTTCTTTTTTTTTCCCTCGTCTTCTTCTTCTTCTTTTCGGGCATGAGAAAGAAGAAACACCACCAGATGGGCACTATGTGTCTATTACTTTTTTTGTTCTATATGTCTTCTATTACATGCAACAGCCGGAACCTAAAAAAAAAACAGAAGACATATCTTTTGGATTTTTATCATAGATAGTTTAAAAAAAAAATAATGGCAATCATTTGTTGTCATACTATGATAAACAAATAATTATATCGATATAGAAAATAATCATAGAAAATGTTTCCTTAACCATATTTTGTTCATTTGTGATGTGTGGCATATATAATGGTTTATATTGATTGATTACATATCAGTATGGCAATTAGAGACAAAAAAACTAAACCAGTTGCTTGCTTTGTTGATGTTAGTATAAATATATAGCGTATCTGGTCTTGATCAGTCGGTTTCAAATCATTTTGATGATAATAAAAATAAGAAAGATTTTTTTTTTTAAATATAAAATGAGAACAACTTTAAATCTTTGATATACTCGGAAAGAGAACTATCGAAATAAATGATCAAAGACGTTTAATAAAAAATAAAAAAACAAAACTTAATCTACAGGATGTTTCAATAGTCATGACTCATAAAAATTTTGTGTATAACTTTACTACACTAAGCAAACTTAATCAAAAACCTCGTTTTTTTTTTATTTGAAACATAACGACGAGTCAGTTTTTATTCGTAAAGACTAATAAAAAAACACCTTTTTTCTATAATGTTGATGTACTTAGTCTTTAAGAATAAAACTAATTCTAGTCATCTCTTGTAAATAAAACAAAAAAAGGTTTCTTTATTAAGCTTGCTCAGTAGTAAAGTTATATATGCATTTGTTAAGTGATCATGAATTCTGAGATACTTTGTATGTCTGTATTCATTCTTTTTTAATTATTTGACAAGTATAAAAATGTATCTAATAGAATATTTTATATCTCCCTGGAATTGTTTTAAACAAGAGATGATTAGGTTTTTTTTTTTTCAAAATTATAATAAAGGATGTTAAATAGACTGTAAAATGAAAAATATGCGCTATTCTTTGTCAGAGCTGCAAGTCTGACCTAGTGACATGCAATGTTAACAGTTTTTTTTTTCAAAGTCTACCGGAAATGAATGTCCTTAGTCCTTTTGGAATGTTAAATGTCATTATAGGCCAAGTAATATTTTAAAAACAAATTATTGAAATAACTTCAAAATGCATTACAATATGCAGAAGAATAAATGGAAGGAAAAATCTAAGAAAAACTATAATTATAAATGCAATTTAACTTCTTTTCAGATGAAGAAAAAAAAACATGAATTAAGTAATAGAATCAATTGAAATATTTTATTTTAGCATTGCTGATGGGCTGGCAGTGAGAGTCTGTCGAATTGCATCCTGGTTCGAAAATTCCTGTCAATGACGAACCATCGAAATAGTCAATTACATTTATAAGATGATTATCATATCGTTTACCAAGATTATCTATAAAACATTGAATAATAATTGTTTTTTCTTGACATGAACAATAAATTATAAAGGATTAGAATCAACATTTACTGCAGATATAATCTTTGGTACAAAAGCTTCAAATTAATTTTGTTTTTAGTATAGTGTACCAATAAATCATCGTAAAGAATCGATCGTTTTCTTGTTAGAAAGAACAAAGATATGTGAAAGTATTTAGCAAAAACTATTTATCAACAATTGAAAAGTTCTCTGCTGGCTTTGACTAATAACGAATTTCGAAAAATAAGATTTTTTTTTTTCATCAATATAAATCATTAAAATTAGTATTCAAATTAATCATTCAAACATAAGAGTTAGTCTTGCGATGATATTCATTTTAATTTAAACATTTTTCAACGTTGTGTCATTTTCAAAGAAAGTTTTAATGACATTTACAAAAAAGTATTTCTATGTACGCAATCCTGAAAACTATGATTATAATGATCTTAGTTGACAAAATTGAATTTTGCTTAATATTGAAAATAAAGATTTTGTTTTATCGACTCAAATTAAGTGAAGAATAAAATACATATCAAATTTACTAACATTCAGACTATCGAATGAATAAAAAAAACGTTCTTTAAAAATTAATTCGATTAATAATATTCGTGTAAAATAGAAATATTTTATATTACAATCATATATCCAGAAATTATCCATTGTATAGAGACAAGAGAAAATGAATTTATTTCTCTAATTAATGTTTTTCTGGATATACGATATGATTTATTTTGAATAGAATTTCAAAAAAACTACGTCTTCATAAGAAGCATTCATTTGATGTCAATGATATTCATCAAATAAAGATTTTTAATTGTAAAATTTGAAATTCCAGGTCTTAAGACAACAATTATATTAGAATAGAAACAGTTAATCTATTTTTTTATGACTAAATAGCTAAAAGAATAAAGATGAGAAGGAAAAATTTTATTATATCCAATTTCTATTGGTTATTCATGATGACTTCCTTCATCAATTATGATTTTATTTATAATATTTCATTATTAACTCATGCCTATTATCTTTTGAATGAAAAGAATAATATAATCATCAATATCTTCTTTCAACCATACACTTCCTTTCATTCTATTATATTTCATATGGATATAATTCTTTTAGAAATATTATTTTTCATATAAAAATATATTTCGACATAGATATTTCCTAATAGAAAGTTCTATTTTTGAAATTTGTATTTTCTCATATCTTTTTTAATCTCAAATAATATTTTATAAGTATGTACTAATAGAAAAGACCATTAACTTCGCTTTAGTAGTAGGAAAAAAAAAACAACAGTTTAGCATACATTATTTTCCTCATTTCTCATTAAACACAACTTATTGGAGACATCCAACTTATTATATCAATAATCCTCGAAATGAATTACAAGACTGACATTTGATTATGTTTCAGGACATAAGTATTTTAGTTTTTTATTGGATAACACAATTTTGTTTAGTAAAAAAAATAATATACTACTCTCAGTGCAGAATTAGCCAAAAAAAGCATTCATTATCATCTTCGCAGATTAATAAATACATAAGTATTAGTTATTTTGAATTAATAATTACTAGTTATTAATATTTAGTGCTTAATTAATAATGTTACGATTTATTTCTAACTTCTAAGTATTTCATATGAAGCATGATAATTGTCTTCAGGGAGATTGTTAGAGTGTTCTGAGTTGTAATTAGACATATTCATGATTATTTTCAATAAATTCATTTATGAAATACAGTTTTAGATCGACAAAAAATTAATGAGTCTTGAATAGTAGTATTTACTCTTTTAAACGATTTGTTCTTGTTTTCTAGAAAGTATTTTATTCGAACTTTAAATAATCTTTACTTTAAAGGAATATTTTATCTCATAATCTCTAACTATTTTTCTCTACTTTTTTTTTTTATTCCATAAATTCAAAGACTCTGAAAAGTTTGAATAGAATAATGTGTAGAAAAACGATGATATGCTGTTAAAATAATAAAGACTATTTCTAATAAAAACTGAAAATTTCACTGAGACGATCGATCTTTCATATGATATTAACAATTAATTAATATCCTCATATAAGTTATTAACATGTAGCCTATTAAAAATAACTAAAAAATAATCAAATCTCAGTCTTGTAAACTACTTCAAGATTCATCAAAATCACGATTTAGATATTTCAAATAAGTTGTCTTATCTAGCACCCATGCTCTTTTTTGTTTTTTGTTTGGTTTAGATAGTTGCAGAGAGTGCATTCTATTTAGCATGATTTTAATAAAAGTTCTATCTAATGAATTATTAAACATATGTTTTGTCGTTTGATGTCTCTTGATAAATATGCATTTGACAGACAAAATTTTTTTTTTCTTTGTTTTTTAATCATTCATATTTCTATTATTTACACATAGTTATCATTTTAGAAAGATTTATGAATGTTTTTATACTATTTTAATATTGATTCAAATTAAATAAAAAAATTATATTCAACTGGTTAAACAATATACAGTAAACTATTCATCGAACTACAAATATTGATTAATTTCTCTAGAGAAAAAGAAAAATTGTTTTTTAATATAATAGAAGTTCTATATGAATGTGATGTCTAAAAAGCAATAGCATCTTTTTTAGTTTTTGAAACACCCTACAGTGAACATCAATAAATATAATATGCTTGTAACTTTCATAGATGACATTTGGTTTTGTTTTTTTTTTGTTGAGATGTTATTTTCATTTCTCTAAATGTTACTTATTATATATTAATAGTAAATCTTCAAGCAAGATACTTAGAAGAAAATATCATCATTCATATAAATCTCGATCAAATAAAATATATAAATATGTTTTCTTCCTTATTATTATTATTATTATAAATAGAAACAGGTGGTCAAAATTTTTCTATTATTTTTCTTTCTTCACATTGCATGTTTATATAGCAATTATCATTATTAGGTTTTTTTCTGTTTTTGTGGAAAATTTTACATACGTCTTCCTTTTTTTTTCTTGTTGAGCTGCTTATTAACAGACTATGTTTGTCTTTTTTTTCTTCTAATTGCCTTTTTAAATGACAAATTTAACCTTCATGTATACTATTGACAAGGTAGTGCTTTGCTCTTGATGAGAAAAAAAAATAAGAATTTTGCATGTTACATTAGCCTTATTCGATAAGAGACTTAGAAATAGACCAACGACAATATAAATTGACGTTTACGTCGTTCTATATTTTCATCTAAGCTTAAAATGTTATTTTTTTTCCTTCATATTAAATATGAACTTGTTGAGTAGTGATGTTTTTTCTTTACTTAGAAGACATTACATTAACTTTTATTATTTAGGAACAAAAAATATAAAGACAGTTATAAAAAGTATTGTTTTGTGCTCTTTTTTTTTTTTTTTTTGTTAAATAATTTTCGTTTATTATTCATAGTATTATGAATCATTTAACACCAGAACCAGTCGAACAATTTCCGCAAACAATTGTTCAAGAACAATCATCAAATTTAACTAATACTAATGAAGATGATAATACATTTGTAACAAATGCAACTCTTAATGATCATCAGGCAAATATACGTCGTCGAGCACCAACAAGACATTCAATAAAATCTTTAACAGGTCGAAAATCATTATCAAAACAAAATTCAACAAAAGAGGTAAACAATCTCTTTATATCTTCATTATATATTATAGACTCATGTGCAAATTTTTTTTTTTTTGATAAAATGTTTTTTTATTTTTCGTTTAATCTTGATTAAGTATTCAAGCGATATTATAGAACAACGAAATATCTATTTCTATGTTAACAAAGTATTTTATCAAGTATGCATTGGTATGTAGTAGTATGATACAGTTAGAAAGAAGTCGTACTTAAATAACCGATGAATCAGTCGTTAATTAACGGATATAAATCTATTACGCTTTTAGAGTTAAGAATATTACTATTTATTCTTTGTTTACTTTTTTGTGGAGCTAAATACAAATATTTCCTCTTTTTTTTTTCTTCTCTCTTTCGTCCTTGTCGACTGCCCTCTACTACATACATACCAAACTGGTATTCCGAGGTTAAGCATAGAGAAACAGACGAAACTGTATCAAATATGTTGATAATTATTCAAATCTACTATCGTTCTTTCTAATATTATCCTATCTTAATAACAAAACAACAAAACAATGTTTGGATCCACAATTTCAAAATCGAATAGAAGAAAATTAACAAGATATCATACAATACATGTAAATTCATCGATTGAAACAGAAATACTTCATAATATTCCAAGTGTTTCACAAATAGCTCCATTACCAGAAAGTAAATCACCTGGTATTTTACCTATTTTAAGTCTTGATAGACGCGATTCATCAAAATCAATAGTATCTGATAGTGAATTATTACAAGATGCAGAAACAACAAATGCTTCAAGTGGTCATCAATCGGTGGGTGAATACAAAATAAAATCTATATATATATATCAGTTTGTCAATGTAATAAAATTGAGAATCTGTACACGCTTTTCTATTAGATTTTATAACAAGAATCGTCACTTTAATGCCTTCTTGATGACAACGAGAAAAACTATAGAATAAAATCTGTATGTTTTTTTTTTACTTGAAAACAAATTTGAACTTTTTGTAAGAAATTATACAATAACCTAGAAGATTAAACCTCCCCCCTCTCAAAAAAGTCACTTTTCGTCAAAATCAACGAAATTAAGAAAAACGCAGGAAAAGATAGCCCGTCATCGAATCTCTCATCAATGACAAAAATTTTTACTCAACACGTTCTTTTTTCCAAAATTTTTTGAAGGTTTCCTTCATCCTCTATTTGAAACATAAGCTATTTTTGAAAAAAAACCGAAAATCTTTTTCGATTTTTCTCATTGTATGGGTTCTCGATTACATCTTCAAGATTTCTCGAAGGTGGTTCATTGTAGCCAATAGTTTTTTTTTGTTTGAAAGAGCATGTAAAACTACAGTGTCTATGAGAGCCAGTTTTTTTTATTATTATTAAGCTTTGCTTTTATTATATATACAAACCTTTATATAATTAGAGTACCATTTTGGAGAGGTTTTTTGAGTCATTGAACTTTTGATCCCTTTTTTTCCTTGAAAAGTAAGAGTTTAAAAAACAAGGACTCTCATAGACACTGCATTCTAATATGCTCTTTCAAAGAAAACAAAAATTATTAAATGTATAGACTGAAGAGCACAGGGAAATTTTGGAGACAAAATTAGCTATTTTTTGACCCTTATTTAGCCGATGTCTCCATCAAACGTCATGATACAGGGCTGAGAAGTTTACCATAGCCATGGTTCATCAGTCCCAACATATCTTGAAAATTTCATGCCATTCGAATGTTCCTAGTCTGAGATCGAATTTTGAGGAAGGAGGGGGAAGCTTAAGTGCTTTGTGGTTGTAATGCTATTGACATAAGATATTTTCTGTTCAGTTAATTGAATAAGTTTTATAATTTTGATGAATAATGCATTTTGCGTCTTTATTCATCATGTATATAAAATTATAACGCTACTTTATCTTTTTTTTACTAAGCATATCATAGGCACAGAATTAGATTCATTCTTTATGCTTTATATTACAAATTAGATTTTCTTTTTTAATAGCAATCAGATTGATAATATATATATATATTAATTCGTAAATTTCGAGAAATATCTTTAACATCTTCTATTTCTAATAAGGGAAATATCTTCAATTGATAAATTCATTTTAAGCTGAGACTACAGTCAATCGATAGAGTCTAGTGAGAAGATAAATATTCTAGCATTGGTCGAGCTATTGGATATTTGTTGCTGAGATATCGATTTTTTAGTAAATTTTTCAAGTTCAACTAAACTTTTGAATTTAGACTTAAGGCTTTGCCTATATAATAGCTTTGATAAGACTAACTAGTAGAAAAAAGTTTACAGTGCCATGATTAAGTCTTTCCAAGATATGATTTGTTCAAAATATTCATGTTTTTTTAAATGATCATGGCAAAGTGCCTATATTTTGATGAATTCATATCTCAGAGAGATTTTCTCAAACAATTTTTTAAAAATTTTTGACTAAGCTAGTCTAATCGAAACCATCTTGTTGGCGAAGTATCAAGTCAAAATTATAAAGTATAATATTGCTTGAAAACTGGGACCTCTCAGGAAAAAATCCACTAAAATTTTGATATCTCAACAATGAAATCTCGACAATTTGAAATAGTATAAGTTATTTGACTAATGACTAAGCTCTATCGATTGAAGATAGTCATACTTAAAAAATGATTTGTCATTTGGAAACCTTCCGTTGTAAGTAGAAACAACTTATTTATTTCCTGTGTATACATGATTTCTACAATAAGATTTGCTGTTTTAAACGTAAGAATATGAGAGAAATAAATCATTACCAAACGAATTCTTATTTCTGAATTTTGATTAATGAATTACAGTAATATCAATATTGGAAATAATTCTTGATGAGCGTTTCATCTTTTATTTTTTTTAATCTTATTCAAAGCTATAGTAAAAATTCATGAAATACAAAAAAACAAAAGTTTTGGAATCGATCGAAAATTCCTATTTTTTTTTTATACTTTCGTCGATCGATTTCATCGGATTTTGAGATCAGTATTTTGCATGAGACAAAATCTAAGAAACAGTTTCAGAAAGAGCATTCATAATCGATCATAAAAGACATGAAGAGTCGATAGAAGTCCGGAAATTCTCAATATTCTGAAACCCGATTAGAAATTCATTTATCCTTGTTTTACAAAAAACACGTATCCAATATCGGAAATTATTGAGCTCTCAGCAAGTCTACATACCAGTTATGATCAGTTTTGAAATGCTCTATGTGTAGCTTCTTAATAACGAAAGAAATGTCATCTTTGACATCATGTTCTTGGAAGTAATATGACCCTAATAGAACTTGTCAAGTCCAAATCTTGAATGGTTTCAGAAGAGTTCATTACAGAACTTATAATGGACATCAGATGCAGATAATGTAATTGAAGTTTTGTTCTGTTTTTTTTTTGACTTTTATAAATCACAATTTAAAACGAGTGTTGAAATATCAGGATGAAATTCAGATCCTTACAGACCACAACAAATATTGTCAATATACAATTACAAATAGAGTCCTGCAAAGTCAAATTTTATACCTTCGAGAAGCTCTAAAACTCTTTTTGATTGACATATATACTTTTTCTTTTATGCTACTTATTAATGAGAAGATCTTTTGGATGTCTTTTATTTTTGTTGAAATGTATTCATGAACTTATCAACTAATGCATTTTTGTTTATATTTTATTACTCCACAACAGGAAGCTCTTCATAAAGTTTTTTCTTATAATTAAAAATTTCCATATGATTTAGTTAATTGATCCGATTGTATCTTTACGGGAATCATTTTGAGGAAACTCTTATAACACACATCTAGGCATATTGAATTTAGCTTATCAGTAGACTTTTTATCAATCTCAAAGAAATAATGTAAATGTAACAAATCTCATGAGACGCATGTATACGTTTGAGTTCACCTCAGGGTAGATTTTTTTTTGTCAATGATATATTTATCCTTATGAGATTTGATTTTATTTTTGATTAGTTCAATGCTCTTTATTTGCTTTCTATGATTGTGAATTGTTTATCATATACTCACTATCTTCTGTTAACTGTATATGATGTATTTTTTTCTTCTTTTTTTAGAAAGTTACAAAACCCGATATAATAAAAAGAAAACTACTTGACTATTTTACTGATGTAACTCTCCGACATTGATTCCGAGCAAAAAATTCTTCACAATAACTCCGATCAAGTCGGAGTCGAAATTAAATTTCGGAATTCAATGTAAGACTCTAATCACAGCTTACATATCAATAACATCTTGTTATAATATATAAACTATTTCCTTATTATATTTCTGAAGGATTAAGTCAAAGGGTGGTAAAGAATTGTGTCTTAAAATAGATAGAATAAAAAAAAAATCTTTATGTGATTAGTAACAGCAGCTACATGTTGTCTTACATTTTAATCCCGTAGGGATTTGCTAACAACTTGGTTGTTGCCGAATAAATTAAAGTATTCTTTTGATATAAAAATTGATTCAGATTCAGTAAAAATGAATCAAAATTATTAGAAATCAGTTTATTCTTCTTTTGTATTAATCTCTTATATTTATTTCAATATAAAATAGATAGAACAAAGATATATGTGTGGAAAGAGTTTATTGTTCTTGTCTAAAGTTTTATTTAGACATAATTGAAATATCTGTATAGAAAAAAAAAAAAGAAATTTCATACTAATTGATTTTATTTTATTTTTAGAAATAAAATATATTTGTCCATGCAAAAAGAAATTTTAATACTATAAAAAGGAAATAATCACTTGACTTAATTTCCCAATGAAAAATTTCATAGAAAAAAACCTCCAATGAATAATCCTTCTCTATTCATTAAATGAACATTATAATCAGAATAAGAATCATATTAACAATTAGTAAATTTGAAGAGAACTTTCTCAAGTTTCTTGTTAAAATATTAATTAGATTTTATTTTTAGCATCGTACATCTCTTGATCCAACAGTACGACGACAATATTCGTATTCTCAAAGCTCAGCTTTATCTGATGGCAGTAAGTTTTTTTTTTTCTTTAAATTCTTGAATGCATAATCAACTATCATTATCCTTTTTTGCATAAAAAAAAATAAAACCATGCATGAAAAAAGAAAATTATAATACAAATAATGTCATTGCTAATGATGCATAGTTCGTTGGTGTGATTAAACATGATGAGCAATAAAAAGAAAATAGAATGACACCTATTCGTTTAGCTAAATGTCATCATTCATTCTA